TTAACGTTGGCAGGGACGACACAGAAGGCTAGTGAAATCATTTCCATCACGTTCTTTACCAACTCTACGGCTACTTAACCGCCCGACTGTTTGGTATTTAACAGTCGGGATTCCGTCTTCGCCTTAAGAGCCAAAATCATAAACTGACCTTTGAAGACTTTCAGTTTCCTTTCTGCTTCCTTATAAGTCCTTTCCACACTTAGCCATTCACACATTCAAACTTTTGAATGTTTTTTTTTGGACATTAATGAGTTTGTGACGATAGAATTATGTGTGTCCTTATAAGTTTTATAGCCTTTTCTTGTTATTTCTATTTATTGATATTGACGATGCAGTCAGCAATAAATCATTGGTGAAGTACCTTTTATACAGCATTGATGTTGTTATTAAATATCTAGGTGTTGACCAATAAGATGGCAGGAATTTGAATATATTTGATGCTAGATTTGTTTACACAGCAGCACGTATATGAATATCAGAGTGTAGTACACCAAATACTGCGTGCATATAACCACTGTACTGTGTCAAGCTTATACACAGTGATAATGTAGTGTTCATGAAAATGTGTGTTTTGTAAGTATCTTATGAAGGAAGACAATAAAAAACTATAAATATATCCTGTTTATGCCTTTATTTGATGACACACACATAGATACATTAATATCATTAAAGCCCTTCAGAGACACATGCATCCTCATGCTAGCTATACTCATAAACTAAAATAGCAAATAAGTTAAACCCAAGTACGAACATTTGTTACGAAAAATGCTGAATTTCTTGACTTGGCGCCCACATTTGTACCCCTTCTAATTCCTAAATCAACCATCCCCAACACTAGATCGAATAAAATAACTCTTGGCAATACAAATCTGCCAAGAAAGCTTCCCTTCTCTTCTCACTGTGAGGAAACCAACCTGCCACACCAGGCAATATCTCCTCAAATCTGATATCAAGCTACAGCTTACAAAAATCCCCCTGTGCTCAATCTCCAGGCCAGATCCTAAACACCTCCCTGACAGTGGTCTGTATATCAGACCATAAATAAACGTCTTTATTTGCTCCCGACCTAGAAAAATGATAAACTGTCATTTCCTCCTTATACAATCTATAAAGTGGAAAACATGAAGAAAGAAAGTGGCAAACGGGGAAACCAAATAAATGGAAAACAGGCCTCTGACACTCTATAAAACACCAGGAAGGAAATACACAGTGACTGCTAGCGGTTTGATTTAGTAGAGAGATAAAAGCATTCACAGCCATTACACCATGTAAAACTCTGCTGCATCTCCCCCTGCCCTTTTCACTCAGCGCTGCACATACTACGTGCAGAGTGCTGCTATGTCCCCCGGGCCGATGTGCTCTATGAAATATCCCCGAGTTTGGCTCTCCACGGACTGTTGTCTCCGTTTTTTTCCAGCTCGTGTTTGCTGATGACTAACAAATGGTTTTAAAACACTTTACTTGAGCAAACCCAGGTCTTATACTGCTGCGGCCCCCTACTTAGAAATCAATGGTCCATGTTAGTCTGCAGCGGGGGGTTCAGACGTAATCACTAGAGTTGGGAATGATTTCCTCAGTCAGCCAGCTGAAAGCCTCCTCCGTCGACTCCACCTTAACCGCACCACCTGCTCACGTTGTCGGTTTCCTGCCTTTTAGTTTTTAATGTTTCTAAACTTGCCACAGAGTCGTTAACCGAGTCATTGTACTTTTATTTCCATGTGGCGGTTAGGAAGTACCAACCATTGTTCTTTGGGAACTGTTATCCTGCTACAACTCCGAAATGTCTCCCTGGAGATTCGAGAGTTATGATCTCAGTTCATAACTCTCAATGTTTTTCAGTTGTGTGTCTATTCCCAAAAACCTTTCTGTGCTCTGCCTTTGGCTTGATTTACCATCCTATAATTATACATTAGTACTGGGCAATATATCTGTATTACATTGGTATTGTGATACAAGGCTAGATATCTTAGATTGTGGATGGTTTGAAAAGGCTGCATTACAGTAAAGTGATGTTTCTACATTTCCCAGACAGTTCTAGCTGCTTTATTGCTTTCCTCAACCTGCTTACTCATTGAAAATCCACCTCACTTACAATCCTTCATCTAAATTCTCAACATCGAGACATTTTGTGAAAGCAAACAATATTGCTTTTCAGGTACTTGATCAACAATCTTGATATTGATATTTTCTCCGTATTGCCCAGCCCTACAGTACATACATTTATTCATTTTAGTTGAGTGTGCAGTGTATTTATGTCAATATAGGTTGAAAAGTTGGGTCAACCACTTTGGTCCAAATTCAAATATCTGAATTTGATGATTTGTCATAATCTGTATATGCTTCTGGAGATCCTCTTATATCTCATATAGCAGGATTTTCTTTTCTTTTTTGGTAAAATAGCCAAACTAGTATCGGATACATTCCCCAGAGGAAGAGTTAGAATAACTGTTCATTCTTAGCTTCTCATATAGCGCCACCATTAGGCAGAGATGGTATACACATTCTTTACTGAAGTAGAAGTACAGATACTTGTGTGTAAAAATACTAAGAGTTGAATTACTGACTAAACTTATTTACTCAAGTAAATGTATGGGCTTCAAAATGTACCTAAAGGGGACCTATCATGCAAAATGCATTTTTGTACGTCTTTTATACATGAATATGTGTCCCCGGTGTGTCAGGAAACTCATCAAGTGTCAGAAAACACAACCCTCTCTCTTTTTCCCTCATACCTTGACTTTCTAATTCAATTTTTGCCGAGGTTCAAGGCATTGGCTACAGACAAACAGTGCCATTTCTCCCACTAGTTCAAGCCGTGTGTGTGTGTGTGTGTGTGTCCCAAATAAAGTAAATTAATCCAATCCAACTTTATTTATATAGCACTTTAAAACCTCCAGACCAAAGTGCTGTACAGAGAGAGATACATAACATATAAAATCACACAGCTCAGCTAACAAAACATTAGGGCATGGTAACAGCATGGTAACAGCATGGTAACAGCATGGTAACAGCATGGTAACATGACGCTCGTGCCTCGCCCCCCTCCTTTGCAGGTGGGCGTGGCCAGCTGCAGCTCATTTGCCACAGAATCAGCCCCCTGCAAAAACAGGGCTGGAATAGAGCAAATAGAGCGAAATGAGGCATGGCTAAAATGCATGATCTGTTTGGTATTTTGAAAAAAAAACTTCACAGACATGTTTTATATAGGTATGGCCCTACAATATATTATTCAAATATAGCATGATAGGTCCACTTTAAGTAAAAAGTACCCATAACTACCAACCTCACTTTTTATTAATAGAACAGAGTTTTCATTGGTCCCTCTTCTTTAGAGAAGACCAGGAAATGATGGATACACAGATTGTGTTAAAATGAATAGACTCTAAATAATAATGATCACGACACCAAACGCAGATTCAAACTAAAGTAACGAAAAATAAGTAGTGGAGTAAAGTACTGATAACAGAAAAATGTACATAACGAAGTATTTGTCCTCACTACTTCCCACCTCTGCCATTAGGCCAAAGTTTCAGTTTGTCAAACACTTTTGTGACCAAATAAATTGCTAAATTCAAAAGGGACTAATAACCGTGCCAGGAAACATGACTGAGTCGACCTGCTCATTTTTCAGGATGCACCGTTGACCTTCAGCCACGTCAGCATGGTAGCAGGCCTCAGTTACAGCTGTGAGCCAGGGAAGCAAACATCCAAAACATCCGTCATCCTGAATAAATTATTCATAACCAAGACCTGCCAGAGAGACAGCAGGACTGATGTATTTGTTTTGCTTCTCCTATCACTTCTCCTCAGTCTGTCTGCACACATTTTACACTGCGCCTTATATTTAGTGCACAACAGGTACAACAGGGTGACAACTGCTCTCCCGCTGTTCCCTGTAAAACAAAAACTTTCAACAGACGCCATGATACCACATACTGATCTGCTAAGTTCAACAACAACGGTGCTCTGTTTATTTTAGCTGGCACAACTTGTGATATCAGGGTTTCTCCAGGAACTTGTATAGCAGGATGAAAACGCTACATGTCAAACAAATTAATATTCCATGACGATGCATATCAGCTCGCTAGTTCGCTTTTAGATAGTTCAATATTTGCTTTACTCTTCCTGTTTTTGCAGGTAACTCAACACATTAATATGAGTTATATAAGGTGTGGCTGCAACGATAAACATCATGCCCGAACGAGCCCCAGTAAAGAAAAATAAGTTTCAGCTTTTTTACCTACAGGGTATATCGGCCAATGTAGAAGCTAATGCATTATTGCTGTGTTTCTGTGATTCAGTAAGAGATATCACCACTATCGTTTCACCATTTTAGGTTCAGCCCAGTAAAGAGCTAAAGAGGGATAATGTCATTTTCTTGAGACATGCAGCATTGCCCACTAATTGAACAATCCCTCTTGCAGCAAGGTTTGACTTCCTGCGAGGCAACTTGGTGTTTTAAGAGAAGTAGCTTGAAGATCTTAGAGAACAGTACGTACTTCTTCAGGACTTACTTTGACGAGCGAACATAGATTCAGACATGTCTAGATCTGTTTATCTGCTGGTATATCTTTATAGAATATTTCCATGATTTGCACAATACTAATCGGGCATGCTTACATAATGACCACTGACTCACCAGAGAACCTTCCAGAGTATTCCTCACCAGTGGAATACAATAAAAGGACATGGAAGGAATGCCTGAAAGTTGTGAAATTGTCAGGAAATATAAAAGTGTGTTTGTCATTAAGTCAGGCTCTGGAATGTACACTCTTTTTTTCAAGAGGTTTAATGAGCTCAACACAGAGTATGGTATGTTACCTGTGTTTGGGATTTAATTACTACTCAGCTGTATGTGACAAAGACATAGCAAGGTGTGTCCTCCTCAATTGCGAAAACACCCCGAAAAATTCCACTAACTTATATTAAATCCCTCTGTAGAGTCAAGGCAGCTTCATGTGGTTGCATGTCTGCCTACACAGGCCGACAGACATTTTTTTTTTTTTCTTCAGGTTGCTATGAAGAAAAAAACATGAAGGTGGGGCTAGTACTTTTCCTACTCGGTGTTAGCTCTTTTGTGTTGCTTCATCGCTCCAATAAGGGAACTTAAAGTGCAGGTTTTCAAAAGAAAGTGCATTAGCAAACAGGAGCTGCCTCTGAACACCTGACTTCACAAGGTAAGATTTTATTTAAAAAAAATGTTTTTATAGCAATGCATGATGGATATATGTGTGCATACAGATGTGTGCTAATCTTAATAGTGGATGGATAATTGTTTTATGACTAAACTTTTGGTCATCTTTGTTTTAGCAGCAATTACTCTGACACACAATTTGCAAAGGCATAGATAATGCAGATTATGTGACGTAGGAAAAACTGACAGTACAGTTTGTTCTGCAACAACAATAAAATGAAAATGTTAAATCTAAATAGTGGTGTAATGCAACTCAAGTACTGCACATATTAAAAGGTACTGTTAGCTTTAGTTACATTTCAGATTTTGCATACCCTTCCTGTTCCGTTAAAACATTTGTGAGATGAAAAATAACCAGTAATATTTCTAGAAAAATAATCATATATATGTACGTTTTTAAAAGGGCAATACTATAATGTACAATCTATACTTTTACTTTTCATACTTTATGTTATTTTACCGGATAAGAAATTCCTAAACTAAAGTTGTGTTGTTTGCAACCAAGTAAAGGATCTGAATGCTTCCTCCACTTCCTATAAATTGTAAAGAACGACATGAAACATTGCAAAATAAAGTAGTGTTTTTCGAATTTGTAAAAAATAAAAAGCAGACAATGCAATCCATTTTATTTCTATAGCACATTTAAAAACAACTAAGTGCTGTACATCAACAACTGTTTAAAAAACATAGCATAAATACATAAAAAACAGAGATGACATGAAACAAATGTAAAACATGAGACGATGAAACCAGACCGGAAGCCACAGACTGAAAAACTCTCCTACATGACGTAAAAACAATACAAAACACTAGTAAGATAAAAACCCAAATGTAAAAGCACACGTGTCATACCTGGCCTAAAAGAAAAAGAATGGCACTTATATGCATTTTTACCTATTTTCTTTTACTGAAGACCTTCTGACTTTTTGTGCCCCACCCCACGTCTTAAACCAAACCTACGCCCTTGCCAACATCACATCCTCATGCCAATTTAAACCTGTAGACTCTTGTGGGGATTTAAAACAAACAGTTATGCCAGCTGCGGATGTGTTTCGCAACTCACTCTGTTGAAAGATGAGTGTGCTAAGCATGCAGGAATTTTATGAAATGTTATGAGGGACGGATATGGCGTCACCATTAACCCTTTTTGTGCCAGAAGGGCTTTTAACTTTAAAGGAAAAAAGGTTCTACGGTAATTATGTATTTATTTTTATTTGAATGCATTTGTATTGAATAACATGACACTTGCATGCAGTCATTGGTGAACTTTTACAAGCTTTATTCATTTTCCAGGTTCTTATCAGTAAGCATCTATACACACAGAATGGCTGACCAATGGCAGGAAGCTTATGATTTTGCCGTTCAAGTGGCAAGAGCAGCTGGAGCGGTACGTAAGAACCACTAAATGCACTTTTACTCCAGTGTAACTTTGATTAAAAATATACGCTTCTTTCCTCTCACGATCCCTAATCATGTGCCAATGATATACCATTTCTTTCAGGTAATAAGGAAAGCAGGGGAGGAGGAAATAAAGGTGCAGACAAAGAGCTGCACTGTCGATCTCGTCACCCAGACTGACGAGAGGGTGGAGAAAATCATCATTGGGTCTCTTAAAGAACAATTTGGAGAAGGCACACACTGGTAAGACATGGACACAGACATACACACATCAATATGTGATTCGTTGTACTTGTGTCATATCCTTGAATTTGTCATTGGCTCTTCTGTGTTACAGTTTCATTGGAGAAGAGTCAGTGTCAAAGGAGCAGCCTAGTATCTTAACTGATAAACCCACATGGATCATAGACCCTGTGGATGGCACCACAAACTTTGTGCATGGGTAAGATATCAGTGTTGCTAAAGGACAGTTTTTTGTGTGAATGAATGAACTTAAACTTGATAAACCAAACAGGACTAACCCAAGTTAAACAGTTAGCTTAGCATAAAGACAGAAATCAGGAGCCTAGCCACACCAGTTTTACCAGTTTTACTCTAATTTCCTTTTTAACAGACATAAGGTTATTATCAATCTTCTTTTATCAGCCAGGTAACAAATAAGCTTATTTCCCAACATGTGGATTCTACAAGGACTTTTCTTTACCATCTAACGAAATAGTTATTTGAAAAAAAACTGTTAAAAGATGCACAGTGTAAACAAGCTAAATGTATTCATAACGTGTAACACACCATTGACTAATGAATATACTTATTCACAGATTCCCATTTGTGGCCGTGTCTATTGCCTTTGCAGTCAATAAGGAGGTATGTCAAATAACACAAGAATCAATAAAGTTTATCCACACCTACAGTATGTTAAAAGGTTCAAACATGACTTGTGTTTTCAGTTGGAGTTTGGTGTGGTGTACAGCTGCATGGAGGACAAGATGTATAAAGCAAGGAGGGGGCAGGGAGCGTTCTGTGATGATGAACCCATTCAGGTGTCCGATGTGAAAGGTAACACTTATCTTGACTTTTTGTGTAGCACCAGTCAAGACTTTGAACTATTTAGCATATTTGAAAACAATAGGAGATTAGTAAAGAAGGAAATAACACAAATGAAGCTACACATGTGCTATCTTTTGCCTTGTTTTTGGTAATTAAAATGGCGTATATCTGGAAACACATCCTTCAGCATGTTCTAGGAATAAATTAGGGTAATAAAGCATTTAAGCACAATTATCTAAAGAAAATAAACGTTACTCACATTCTATATCGAGGATTTTTGACTTTGACTGTTACTGTATGTTCTAGTGTGCCAACTTGACAGTCACCGTCACACCTGTACTGTAATAGTAACGCGTTTGGCATGCTGTCATTGCAGATATCAATAAGTCCATTATCATCTGTGAGCATGGAACTGACAGGTCTCCGGAGACAGTGCAGAAGATCTTCTCCACGATGAAAAAGATTCTCTGCATCCCAGTGCATGGGTGGGTGGTTTTTCACATGTTGCCCTAGAATCAAAAAGATTTTCTCGGAAAGTTGACATTTTGTTTAGATACCTGACATAAGGTCTTTGGTTAAATCGTTTTTTAGAAAGTTTAATGTTTTTGTTAACTGGTACCTAATTAATAACTGTAACTTGTATATACTGACTACTCAAAAAAAAGAATTTAAAGTAATACATTAGTTTTAATTGACATAAAATAACCGGTTTCCCTTGGGGTTGTCTATAAGCTTCAATGGCTCAGAATAGAGGAAAAAAGGAGCTAGCCAAATGCTAGAAGCTAACTATTTTAGCATAGTAGTCTTAACTACCATCTCATTTAATTCAATTTGGTTAAGTTATCTTAAAGTCTTTTATTTCCATGAATTATACTGTGTTTGGAATGGATCCATTAAACAGATTAATTATGAATATTAGACATACAAAAACTGTAATAATACACATTGTAAATAATAATACAACATAATGGAAAAGAAGGATATCTTGGATCTTGGATTTTTACTTGCTTTGCTCATTTTCCAAAGTGAGAGTTTAAATGGCAAGGAACTGCAACTTTCTTTGTGTTACAGTTTGCTAGACCCTTTTTTCTTGACTCCCCCTCAGCCATTAGTACTGTCATCATTAAACTCTTACTGGTGTGTCCTGACAGGCTCCGTGGGTCTGGGACGGCTGCCACCAACATGTGCCTGGTGGCGTGCGGGGCGGTGGAGGCCTTCTTCGAGATCGGGATCCACTGCTGGGACATTGCTGCTGGGGCGGTTATAGTCAGAGAAGCCGGTGGATTACTCCTGGATGTTGACGGTGTGTATGCTTCATGTGATTTTAAATGAATAATTGGTCATTGGTATTAAAAGCAGCCTTCGTTTTTTGGTGAAACCCCTCTAAATTAAGCCTCTTTTTGTTAAATAAAGGGGGACCTTTCGATGTGATGTCTCGAAGGATGGTTTCAGGAAACAACAGGGTGATTGTTGATCGGATCATCAAGGAAATTGAAATATTCGATACGGTGAGAGACGACGCTCCAATTGTGAAGAAATGAAAACTTCCAAATGCATTGTGAAATAAATACCACATAAATGGTCCATCCAATTGCTGTGTGTCCTTAATAAAGTGAATGCGCTGTTATTATACTGATACTTGGTGTGATTCTTTGGCTCCACATCTTTAAACTATTTCAACTCAGTCCCCAACCTAAATGACCAGGTAATATTTTAACAGCATGGAAACTGCTGTACATTTCCATTTTTGTATACCAGGATATTTACATTTGCAAGCTTGTATTTTGTCTTACCTTACATTAGACAATATTTATTCTGTTTGTAGATCCTCATCAAGATATTTGTTCTGATTTGTATTCCTACACAGACGTGAACATTAGCACAACAGACTGCAGAAGAAGGGTTTCTGAGACTGATGGTTATTTTAACTGGATTTCCAATCAGTGAATTAATCTCTTCTCTCTCGGTCTCATATGACTCTAATGTGTAATTATCGGATGGAAATGAGTGGGATTCCACTTGGGTGATTACCCTCATTAGAGGCAACAGTCTTTAGCACTGAGTAAAGTCAATGTTGAAGTGACTTTATAAACACTGGCCCTGTCAAGTGTCATAAAATATGCTTAGTGAATATCACAATATTGCCCCATAGCCTCTCTTTCAGCATTATTACAGTTTACCCAGTTTTTGACACTCATATTACTGTTCACCACTAGAGGCCAGTAATGCATCAGCAATTAGTTAGTATCTTAAAGCGGCTCTTATTTAACACTGGTGGTTGAACTTGCAGTATTTTTTTATGTAGTCATTATAAGTTTGTTTTTGCGTGGACTGTACTTCAGTAGAGATTGACATTCTGCTCTGAAGTCCCTTTATGCTCCATCAACACCTTTTCTAGCCCCTCAAATCGGAAAAAATTACTCCACCCAAGAGATTAGGTCATTTTTCATTTCTGCTCTTGTTTTCCGGGTAATAAATAAACAGCTGGCTATGAGAATGGGCGCACGTGAAGAAGGCAGAGGTGTAGGAACAAGTTCAGATTGCAATAGTAGAAGGAACAGCCATTGAAGCAGCAGCAGCCAGCACTAACAGCAGGAAAAACAACAGCAGCGGCAGAGACAACAGCAGGAGGTTGGGGGGGATGAGGAATGTTTGAACTGGTGCCTTTGAAACATAAATAACTGCAATTTCTTTGTATAATTATTCTATACATCTACCACTGCTGTAGTCTATGATGATTTGTATGATGCTCTAATAGAGCTATTCTTTGTGTGTCTTTTATATGGCAAACATCTAACTCCACAATCCTTTGAGCATCGGATGCGAAATATAAAGATTTTTTTCATTATCATGTGTTGCAGTAGAGCAGGGCCAGATAATAGATGCAAATTCAGTACGTCTAAATGTTTTTGCTTGAACATGCCCGGAATGCCAGATGGCTGGAATTTGTCTTGTAGGACAAAACAGTAAATGTCACAGAGGTCAGAGGACTACACAAGTCAACTTATATTAACTTGAATTGATCAGCTTTTTCCTCTTTCTAAATATTCACTATACTATAATCAACGCATTTGAATAATGTTACATAAGCAGTTGAATTGACTTGTATGATGCAGCTAAGTTGATGCCATCTTTTTACGTTAATCTTGTAGATAAGTAAATTGTCGTTCTACCCCTCAGTCATTTTATTTTGAAGCGATGCTAAGGGAAATTATTTGGGTCATGATACTTTATTCAGAAGCAGTTAATACAGGTTTTTATATACCACATTAAAGCATTACACTTATGGCTCTTAACATGACAATGGCTAAGGCAAGGAAAGGTTTATTTATACAGTACTTTTCTGTACGCGACAATTCAAAGTGCTTTACAAAACAAATTAAAATACTTTTTAGGAATAAATACAGTAAAACACATTATATAATGGCATTTTACAACAGGCATTACAAAGCAAAGATAATAAAATAATCAAAATAAACACCACAGGTATACAATACATGTTTAAAAGGCATACTGTAGTTCGAATATGAGCAGCTCAATTAAAAGCAGCGGCAAAGAGATATGTTTTTAGTCTCGATTTAAAAATAGTAAGCGTTTCTGCGGACGTGCATGATTTGGGTAGTTTGTTCCAGAGTGTCGGGGCATAATAGCTAAATGCTGCCTCTCCATGTTTTGTTGTTACTCTCGGAACCGATAGCAGACCCGTCCCAGAAGACCTGAGGCACCTTGATGGCTCGTAATTATGTAGGAGTTCAACAATATACTTTGGTCCTAAACAATGTAATGATTTAAAAAATGGCAATAATACTTTAAAATCAATTCTTTGGCCGACTGGAAGCCAATGTAAAGATTTCAGAACCGGACTGATGTGATCCACTCTTTTAATGTTAGTGAGGACACGTGCAGCAGCGTTCTGAATCAGCTGCAGTTTTCTGATGAATTTCTTTGTCAGCCCTGTGAATACACTATGGCAGTAGTCGAGTGGTATAGACTACTTACTTTTAAATTCAGATGTTGTACACCATACTCAGGA